TCTTTAGCTGTTTTTGAAAGTTCTTGAGCAACAACATCCAAAACTTTCCAGTAATCTTTTTTACACGGCTGACGTCAACCAGCTACACCTCTTGGTAGCTCTCGTCACATGTTGTCAAAGACGATGGACGATCCTTCGTCTTCGTACGAACATTCGTCGTAGAGAACGATGCATGCAGCTGATATAAAACCTGATGACTGCATCCAGTGTTGTCTGACCTGCTTCTGTTTTCCCGTTTCCTCAGTCGGTGGTTCACACCATCGAGCTCCAGGACACCAACGACAGGAACCTGCCGTACACCGAGTGCGTGATCGTCAACAGCGGCCGGATCCCCGTCAAGGAGCCCTTCGTGGTGGAGGTGGAGGGCTGGTAGAGCCGCCTGACAGGAAACATGAGCGTACACCGGCGGTCGATCGGGAGTCACACTTACAGCGTGCCAAATTCACATTTACACTGCTTTAGCATGTTAGCATCCTGATGCTAGCATGTTAGCATGGAGGTGACGGTCATTTCTTATAAAAAAATATCTGAGTTTAAGTTCTGACATCAAAACATTTTTTATTAACTTGAGGAATATATGTTTTTTTTTTGTTTTTTTTTTAACAAATTCAGATTTACAAGCAAGCTAATGTCAAGAACAACTGGGAGTATGGCACCACTGTAGCTAATGTTAGCAAAGGCATGCTAATATTGGCTACCTTTGGAGCTTGTTAGCATGCTCCGTGGTCGTCATCAGAAGTCCCATATGCAGCGTGTCACATTCACATTTACAGTTCATTACTTTAGCATGTCAACATAATAATTAGCATAAAGGAATTTAATTCATTTGTATTTTTTAGTGACACCACAATAATAACTTTTTCTTATTGCTAACTTGAGGAATGTTTTTCAAACAACTCAAAGTTAACAAGCAAGCAAACGCTAAAAAAACACGTTAAACTTTCAATTTGAAGTTGAATTTTGTCTGAGGACAAGAACCACTTCAGTGAACCATAACCCTAAACAACATGCTAACGTGCTAAGTGTGATCAGGCAACACACTAGCTAATGTTGGCATGCTAACATGTGCCAAAGGCTAACAATGCAGGCCTAAATTTAACACATTACCTCAAAAAAAAAACTGTCACCGTGCATGCTAACATGTTAGCTAAGGCCTCGCTAATGCTATTATGCTAACATACAGCAGCTATGGGTGAACATGCTAAAGCCAAACGTGACTCCTGATCGATTTCTGCTGGACGCAGATAATAATATAAGTCATAGAGGTTTGTTTTTTTTAATAGAAGTCATCAGTAGCTGACTAACACGGCAGCTTAACAGGTTACATCTGTGGTAAACTTTAAAAAGCGGTTCAACCTGCAGTGCAAAGTGGGTTTGGGTTCAAACTGAACCTCGTAGACGATTAATAAGTTGTTCTTCCAAAACAGTCCAGGAACTGAATCCGTTTATCCAGCAAGTGTCCAAAACGATTTAACTGCAGCGTGAATTGAGAAAAATGAAAAACTGGCCCATTTTTTATTTTTTTGGTAACAGAAACAAAATCTTTTTAGTTTTAAAATGGAAAAAGACAAACTGGGTCATTTTCCTCAATTTCAGTCTAAAACAGAAACATTCCAAAATGGTCACTTTTTGGAATCGTAGCAAAAAATCACAACAAAAATGCACTTTTTTTTGTTTGTAGCATCAAAACAAGCGACATGAAACAGTCGAATTAGCAGAAACACAGCATACATACATATCAAAACCTGGAAATAGGAGTTTTCAGCAGAGCGGCGGTTGAGTTCGAGTCTGTTCAGTATCCACCAGGTTCACTGTGGTTCGTGCTAACGGGCTAAACCGTTAGCTTACATGCACTTCCAGACTATAGACGATGTAGCTCTCGTTGCCAAATCCTTCTTTAATTGCCAAATTTTCTTGCACTTCTTATGCATCTAATCAATAAATATCAGAGCCTGTTATCGTTCATATGCAAAAACCTGTAGCAAGTGTCAAATGTTCGCATTTTGTAGTTTTGTTTGTTGATTCTTTTATTTGTTCATCGATGAAAATGAAGCGTCTGCATTGCAAAAAAAAGAGAAATATGCACCATTTTTGCAAAAACTACAGCACAAATTGCACAGGATGACAGCGCGTGGAAACCAGTGTTAACGACGTTGTGTTAGCGACGTTGTGTTAGCGACGTTGTGTTAGCGACGTTGTGTTAACGACGTTGTGCTAGCGTCGTTGTGTTAGCGTCGCTACATGTTGTGTTATCAAGTCAGTCAGCTCGTTCTGACTGCTAACGTTTGTTCTTTCTAATGTTGTGTTTGCAATAACCCAAACGTGTGAAAGTAGCGTAACGATGTAGGAACCCTCCCTACGTTAAAACCTCCTTAACGAACATATCGGACTGAGTTGTTCTCTTTGTGTTCAGCAACAGCGTCAGACGGTGCCAACCAGAGGATTTTCTACAATAAAAGCGCTATTGCAAAACTATCAGTCTGTGTTCGTGGTGTTTATTGTATTTATTGGATGTTGAGGTAGTTGTGCTGCTCCCAGTGGGATACACCACTCCTTGTTGTGGTACGGTAGGAGTCTGGTCAGGTTTAGGTACAGGAGCAGCTTGATGAGGTTCAGAGGTGGATCACGGTTTTGTTCTAGTTACCAAACGTTACAGTCATTCAGTATTTGACAAGAATGAACAATTAAAT